TCACATTTAAATGGTTTCTGTTGACATGCAATGCGTGAAAGATGGAGTCAGAAAGCACACAGACTGGAAATACAGTGAGGAGAAGGAGGCATATTTGCAATTTTTTTTCCCCATGACCCTTCTTCTTGGAGCATCTGGTTGTACCTTAAGACACCAGACAGTAGTCACCTCTTCCACTGTCCTACTCAAAAATTTCCTGTGGCTTCAGCCACAACTGAAAATCACAAACAAGATCCATTGATACCTTCTACCCCAAGTATCCTCTTGGGTTTTAAGAGTTTTAAGAGGAAACTGTAACAGGCAAAAAGGAACACCAAACTCTTTATATGGGGAGGCGTGCAAGAATGCAGACAGCCTGTGTGGTTTTCAAGGAGTGTGTGTGCACCTCTGTATGTATCGTGTGCATGTATCCAGGAAGGTAAAACTCTGCTTTCAGTTTCCATCTGAAATTTGAAAATTCTTTCTGAGACCTCTCACTTCATTGCCTTTGCTATATTCTTATCTTTTATTAATTTTATTGTAATTTCTTTGATTGTTGAGAGTAGCCCAGCACCATTGAGAGTTGGGTGACATTCAAGTTTAATAAATTATTATTCATATTATTAAAACACACAGAACTGCTATTTGGGGAAAGGGCAAACCGGATGTGAGTGTATTTTGGTCTAAATTTAACAAATCTAAATTAAAACAAAAACCTCTTCTGAAATGTTGTAGTCTTTAAAGTTTAGCATTTTAAAATCTAGAGCAGTGTCTCTCAACCTTGGCAGCTTTAAGCTGTGTGCACTTCAAGTTCATACAGCTTAAACCTGCCAAGGTTGAGCAATGCTGATTTAGAGAATGGATTTCCAAAATCTGGCACACTGTCTACTTTTGGGATAACGACAACATTAGATCTTTTGTGAGAAGAAGGAAATGAGTGTATGTTCATACTGGCATAACTGCCAGTACCTGTGCCAAGGAAATCTTTTGCAATGGTCAGTGGGGAGGGAGACCCACCATGGCCAATCAATTGAAATGGAGGAAGATGAGCATTTGTGCTCTTGTTGGCTGAGGAGTTAAGCAGCCAGCGTGGGGATTGCTATCCATCTTGGACCTTGCGCTTTTCTCTATTACAGTTTAAGCTCTAAGACACACTTGTAAAACGGCAAATCGCTGATATATTTTAAACTGCCACCTGCAAATTTACAATGCTGATAATGTATTCTCCTTTTAGAAAGCACCACGATATCCGATGGTTGGTAACGTGAAAAGGCTGCACTGAAAATTTGAAATGAATTGAATGTTGTGAAAGCAGAAGCTGTTGGAAGTAATTGGAGAAAAAGGATGACTTTCTGGTAAGAATGGTTAAGTAACAATTACGAATGTGACTTAATTAAATATTGGGTAATAACATGCTGATGTTCTTTGGATTATTCACATTAATGTCTGGTGTTTCCAAATATGGTATAGTCTTTTATGTTTGGGTAGAACTGAATTTTTTTAAACTCAATTGCATGTTGGAAAGAAATTGTGGACAAGGGTGGAGACACTAGTCATCTGTCTGTCCATCCATGATCAGAAGGACTCCCCCAAAGTAGAGCAGAACTGTATGTCCACTAGAGTTGAGAAGCCAATCAATTGAAATAAATACATAAATAAATATGGGGAGAGAAAAGCTGGCAAAAGGAAAACTGAGTTTGTAGATGAGCATGTGGAGGGAGGCTGTAAAGAAACCAGTCCCGAAAAATGTCACCCGCTGGTGTATCCTTTTGGGAGAGGTGGCTAGGAATGCCACTGACTGCTCCATTCTTCACCCCCTGCCCAGTGCCATGACCCAGAGCAGGGCAGATGCACCCTTCCTGCATTTCCCACTGCACACATACACACCAACACAGATGCGACACAGAACAGAAACCCACGCGTGACCCGAAAGTGACTGCAGGGCGCAGAAGCACATGCAGACATATTCCTTGGGGGTTGGAAAGAATTTGAGAAGCCAGGCGCTGGATACTTTCCCTGTCCTGCTTAATCAGGGTGCTGGACTAGGTAAACTCTCCTTTGAATGTCAAACATTATATATGCTATTGTGTTCCCCCGAGAAAGAATACCGCTAGCTCCATCTGTAGCTGTGTTTAAAATCCATCCATTTACATCTGTCTCATCCTCAGTCTAGTGCCCTCCAGTTGCACGGAAGGCTGGTCTCAACCCATTAGTGTGAATGTTGCAAATTTGTTTATAAAGTCCTGGAAAATTCAGCAGTATCAAGATGGGGTTTTTAAGGCCAAGTGGAGAATTATTAATATTATGTCGCTTTGCAAAATACTTGCCCTATCAATTTTATTTATGTAATGTGTGTAATAACTTGTTATTATGGGCAGGATTTGACAAATCATTTGACTAAGAAGAAGAGGTGGGTGAAGAAACCTAAGGTCTTCCCACCACATTCCCTTTGTGCAAGACCCTTTTTTCAACAGGCCAACTCACACCTGCTGCTGGAGGAGGACTGGGATGAACAGGTGTTCCAAGATGGTAAGGCAGGAGAAGAAAAGTCCAGGCCTTTTCCTACCAGGGGGATGTAACCCTGTTAAACATTAAAATGATGCCTCCCCATAGTTTCGCCTTATATGTGAACATAATTGATCAATTTATGAGGAAAAATAAAATAGCTGCCACTGTTGCAATAGGGTGGCCTTGAAGCTCTCCAGGAAGATATTCCAAAGAGCATCATAGGCTTCTATGTCATTCCTCTCCCTTTTTAGCTCTTGGCAACTCCTAATCTTTCCATACCCACACAGAGTGAATGAATAAACATTTGAACAGAGAAAAAATAATGTTGGATAGAAGTAGGAAAGATGAAAAAAAGTTAAATAAAATCCTACAATTTTAGCACTGTGTTTATAGAATGCCTTTTCTCATGATCCTTTTGAAGAATAGTTTCCTAATTGGTGTCCTTCAGTGGTGTTGGGCTTGTAACTCCCAGCCAATCTAGAGGACACAAATTTGGGGAAACCTGAGCTTGACAACTCTTGTGAGGCTGGATTCTTAGCTTTCACTCATGCTTTAAAATACATCTAGGAGGTTTCCAGAGAAGCTTCTGGTTTTCCTAGCCACAGAGTTGGCTGGCTAGAGGATGAAGGGCCATTCTTCAAACTGGTTTCTCAGAGCTATCATCCTTGTATGGTTATGATGGAGGAGCGGTCTGGAAAGTGCCTTTGGCCAGGATGCTCAATCCATTTCCATAGGGAAAACCCACTTGGTGAAATTATGGCAGATAGAAGGAATTTCCTTGTATCCCCAGTCTTGTTTCTCTTATTCACTGCTTTAGTTAACTTAGATGAGTCTGCAGAAGGTATGTTTAAAATTGCAGATGTGAACCTAATGGCTTGGGCAAGAGAAAACTCCACTCCTCCTCTGTCCCCAATGCATCTCAGTTGTACCATGGATGCCAGTCCTAAACCTGTCCTGGGTTCCTCCATATTCTCTAGGGACTGAAAGCTTGACTAGATGGTAGGAGCGATCTGGGACCACTGCTGCTCTGTACTCCTTGCTCCCTGTCCCTTGCAATGTCTAAGTTAATGCTACTCTTGATCCCGTTGTGCTGTGCTATGCCCTTCTCCACAGCATTGGCTGTTGAGGTGGGAAAGATCCAGGGCAATGATGTCATGGCATAGATTGTGCTCACCTTTGCAGTAGGATGGAATGGGAGCCAAGAGTCATGGGTTGGCAGCGCTGCTGATGGTCTTTCAAAACTCTTAGTTAATCTGAGATGAGACTTTCTTTCAGGCTATTGGGGAAAGGTCATCAGAATTTGCTTTGTGTGCAGAATTTCAGGCTCCATCCTTGGCATCCTCAAGAACATGAAATGGTGGTCAGTGCCAGATGGGTGAACAACCTGCAGCCAACTGACCACAGGCAGTCCCGGCCCTTGTCGGTTGCCACTGGTGTAGATAATACTAGACTAGATGAGTGAATTGGTATAAGGCAGCATCCTGAGGAGAACCAGCAGAGAAAAGTCCCTGGATGGACTAGATTAACCGGGACAGTAGTGCAAGATCCTCATAACGGTAGATGGGGATAGCCAAATTAAGCCTGTTCCCTGCCCTTCTCTAACAGGGGAGTGGCACATTCTAGCCCTGCAGTGGCTTTAGACAGCCAAGGATGAAGCAGAACAGGTCAGTGAAAGCTTGTGATAAAGCAGTAGGGAAAATTATTTACCATTTTATTTCAAAAACTATAACATCATCAAGTGAATGAACCTTCCATGGTGGCACCTGACTTCTTAGAAATATAGAAATATATATAAATCAGAAAAATAAATTAGTCGCGTCAGATATTTGTGACATCACAGACACAGAATAATAGGTGTCTATGATCCTCATGCTGCTAAGGTCCAAAGGGCATTGCACAAAGCAACGGAAATGCTAGGCTGGGATGTCACTTTTTCCCCGAAAGAAAATATTGCAGATCGGGGGCTGACAAATTGTGACAGATCTGCAATAAATGCATGAGCTGGGACAGAGATAGCAGTAATTGGATTCTCCCAACTCTGTAAAGGAGAAGGTCCATTTCTTATGCCAAGAATTGTATCACTGGGAAAGTTCTGTATTTTCTCTGGATCAACCCAAAGCTAGCAGAAATAAAGCAGACAGGGCCACTTTGTTTAAAAGAAGTGGTTCTGAGTTGATCTAATAACTGGAACTAGAAACAGGGAAGAGTTGCCAATTTTAAGAGAATAAGAAGCAAATGCTCTCAAAAACTGCGAACTGGAGGGTGGGGATGGAGGCCTTTTCAGAGGATTGTAAGAGTCAGATATTGCAGAAACATGACATTCTTGCAGTAGAATATTGATATGAAATAAATATATAAGGGTGGGGAAGGGAGAGGAGGAGAACAAATGTGTATCTAAGGATAATTTCTCCATATGCTAAACTTGCTGTATGAGTTTGATATGCTGGGTACTTTTAGCCCAAGTTCTCTGCATCCACAAGTCTCCTCAACCACCACGTGTCTGCTTCCTCTTGTGTAGCTTCTTCTGGCAGCCAGGGTGTGGACCTCAATAGGATTTTTTTAGGTTGCCATGAAGGGTCCCCCAGAGAGATGATTATCAGCCACAGGCAAACAGTGGGACAATCAATGGTCTTTGAGCAGCAGTCAGCTAGTCCAAAGGTTGGCTGGGATTGGATAGAAAAAGACACCAGGATGGGGAGGAGCATCACTGGAGGGGAGAGAGGAGGATTTCCACATCTTGTGCTCTTGGCACAAGGGCTGGGTGGAGCTTTGGTTGATCTGATTATCAGTTGCAGGAGGGCAGGGCGGATGGGCAATGAAGATGTGGAGCAGTGATAAACAGCCAGGCAGTCTCTCTTTCTCTCTCTCTGGATCAGCTTGAAGGCACCATATCAACTCCGCAGCCCCAACGTTTCTGGGTGAGAAGATCATGGGCGAAGATGAACCAGGAGGATCATCGGGCACTGGTGAGATTCCCGTCCCTGGAGAAGGCTGCGCAGGGAAGGGAAGGGAAGGGGAGGCAAAATGGATTTCCATCATAAGATGCTTTCACTTGAATGAACCACTGTTTCTGTTAACTGAAATGCTTATTTTGTGCTTTTCTTTAAAAAGAAGAAAAGGATGGATGGATGGACCATCAGCTCAATTTGGGGGGCACGGCCTGTGGCCCTTCAACCCACAGTGCACCTTCCACGTTTTTGGCAGCATAATGTTTTGCATTAAACACCTCTGATAATCTTAAGGTACCTATTCTAAATAATCCTTCCAACCCCCCAAATATGGTCCCTGCTCCCATACCATGGCATCCTCACATTACCAACACTCCCTCCAATTCCAAGACCATAAATAAATTAAAACTTTTGGTGCTCCCTGGCCAGAAATAGTTTACCTATCCCTGCATCCAAAAAGACATCCTAGGTTATTTAAAAAGAAAAGGAGGAGGAGGAGGAGGAGGAGGAGGAGCCCAAATATGGATGGATCAAAGGAATGGTACCATTAATGGATCAGCAAATGCCTGAAAGCACACAGAGGAAAGTTTACAGGATATTATCCTGGCACAGCCAGCATCTTTGACCAACCTAAGACATGGCTGGTGCACAGAACAAGCTCCCTTTGTGGATATGGTGCTTATTGGAACAAGTATCCTGAAGAAATACAAAACCCAAACTCTTCATCCCCTTTTCACTGATTGGGCACTGTCTAGATATGCTGGGACTGCAATTCTACAACACTCTTAACCTGGGTCATGATTTAACCCATTTTCAGGGTTTGTACAATATATTAAACCATAAGCTAATCAAACAGGCAGGGTTGCACAACATGCTAAACTGTGAAGAAACGAATCCCGGTCAGCACTGACCCAACTTAGCAAGTTGTTAGAAACCCAATAGTTGATTGACACAGTATGCTGCATCTGGTTACTTTTAACCTCAGTTTATTTTTTGTATCTTAAAAGATCATTTGGCTAATTTACAGGTCAGTGTATTGTGCCTACCCAGATCATAATTTCAGCATGTTGTGGGAACACAGCCTATAACTGGTATATGGATCACATTTAGGCAGAACTGAAGAGAGTTCTGCAAGGAGGTATATTTCCTAACTAACCAAATACTCCCTAGATTATTTGGAAAAGAAAGGACTTTCTTGAGTACGCCAGAAAGTCTCACAGTTGAGCTTGGAAGATGTCCAAATGAAGAACTTCAGAAAATTAAGAGAGATGGCCATCCAAACTAACAAAATGGATGGATGGATGGATGGATGGATGGATGGATGGATGGATGGATGACGTGACCTATTCTTTAAGCTGTCCTATCTAAGAAAATGCTGTTGCTGATGATCAAGAATTTGTATTCTAAGCTTGGATCAGGATAACAAGTTTCAGCTTTCTTAGGGACAAAAATGGACACTGCAGTTCTGATGGTCTCTTTCTCTTACTTTCTAAGAGGTGAATAATAGTGATTATTATTACCCAACCCTTTGCTAATGAACATGCTAGGCTAATGGTCATTTGATGGGTCCCAGTAGCAGTTGAAAGGCATATGTGGGCAATTTGTACAAGGGTGTGATACTTACTGCACACAGAATTGTAAGTGCTATACTGCAGTACACACAGTGCTGACGGTAAACTCTGCCTCATTGGCCATGATATCTGTTGGCTGCAAGTTGCGGTCATACATTGGATTTTCAAATGTTCCTCGGACATTGGTGTTTTCATGGCCAGCATAGCCATTGAACGGCACCTTCGGTCTCCTTCTGTTTCAGATAGGACAAAGAAGTCAGGCATAGAGAGCAATTGCACTGCATTAAAATCTGCAAACACTTTCTAGCGTGTCTTTTCAGAAAAACAGCTTCCTAGTGCAATTCCTCTGTCTGTCTCCCCCCCCTCTCTCATTCACATTAATTGAAATGAAGCATTGGAAAGCAATGGAATGCAATTTAACTGTGCTACCGGCTTAGCCCTGCTGAACGGTATGTTCAATTCCTGTTCACATAACTAGTTTGAGAGGTACAAATGTGGTTGGGTCATAGAAAGTGTGAAGCAAGTGGGAACTATTCCCCAGGGTGTTGGACTGCAGCTTTCAGCACTCATGTAGTGGATAAAAAGGATGGCCTTGAAGGACAGAAGGAAGACCCTCAACCAAGGCAACGATCGGATGAACAAAAGTTGGGCAGGCATTTGCAAAAATGCCTCAGACAGCCCCCTCCATTCCCCCCAATTCTCATGAAGATAAAAGAGGGAGGAAAGGTAGCTCATTCAGAGTTGACAGATTCTGTTACTATAGCTGTTCTAATGAAGGTAGCTTAGATCTGCACGGTGTCTGTTTCTTAGTGTGGTCTACCTGATAGGGCTGACAACTAGCCATGCTGGCTGGGGATCATGAGAATTGTGGCTTAGCCATCCGGAGGACCCTGAACCAGAACAGCCATGTGATATTCTTCCAATCCTTGTTACGAGGCCGTAAGAGGTCGTTGGCTGTTTTTCCCTCTTGGAACATCTCACCTGTGCTTGTAGAGATAGAGTACAAACCCTGCAATCATCAGGGCAATGAAAGGCACGAGGATCGCAGCTGCAACGGAGCTGCTGTTAGATGCAAATGGATGTCCTATTGATTCAGGATCCCGTTCAATGATGCTGCTATCTGGAAAACAAAACGCCATTGAATTCTGGGTGCTGAGTCCAGCTGGGAAGGAGAGGTCCACCCATGTCTGCTGCGTGTAAATAGAAGAAAATAGTTAAATCTCAGATTTCATCCCTGACACCTCTAATTAAATAACCTCTGACAGGGTTACTGAGAACGGCAATGGAATGAGATACACGAGAGCTGCGAGGCTTGATAGAGGGCTAGCAGAGACTTATCCATATGTCACCAACTCTTTCTCACTCTTGTCCTCTCCGGCATTTATGGGACAAAGAAAAAACAAAATGTGAAGTTATGATTTAGCTTTTAAAGGACCTGCTATGTCTTTTTCCCAAAACGAATAGCCAAGGGTTCCTTTTATTTGTTTGATTTGCAGTCCAAGACTCCAAACAAGGAAGAAACAGCATTCACAGTTAACCAAACACTATACATACAATAAATAGGTTAAAAATATACATTAGAGATGTGTAAATAACGTTAACAAAATGACTATCTTAAGCAGTGAGGGCAAGCAGATTGAATTTGGCAGAATTCTGGAAATAAAAACCTAGAATTTATTTAAATAAAAGTTGAAGCTCAGTTTCACAAGATAATAAAAATTAGAAAGGTGAAAAAATTAATTGAATTAAAATAATTAAATATGATAGCTGATACCTACTTAAGCTTAAATGGGAAAACTTACAATATGATATTGCGTATACAAATTATTTAAAAAGCCATTATTTTGGGTAAACATCAGTCAGCTTACCTAGTCTTTGGAGGCCAAATTGTCCAAAGCCTTTGCCGTGGACAAACCCTTGGTAGACAAATGTCCCACTTGAAGATTCTGGAGTGACCTGCGTTTGGAGTGGAAAATGAAAAAACTGCAAAATCCAAATGCAGAAGTGGGGAAAAAAATCAGCTGTAGGAATAGGGTGATCATAGCCTTATGGCCATTTCCTCCAGAAATTACTCAGATGTATTCACAATTATACAATCATTCTAACAGGATCAATATGATAAAAGCAGATGTTTGGTTTCAGAGCAGAGATACATTGCTGAGGAGTAGAAGAAATCACTATAAATTGTCAAGATAAAGAAGGAAGTTCTTTGCACAGAACAAGAAAACCCATAAATGTGGGTAGGGTGGGGAAATGGAACGACTGACCAAACTTTAGATGCTCGGTTTATTGAGTTTTAAGTAAAAAATAAAAGCCAAAAAGCCAAATCTGGCCTAATTCCTCATGCTACTGCTTACTCAAAACGTGGCTCAAATGTTGTACCATCATGCTAAGAAGAAATGGAACATGTATCAGGACAAGCTATATATAGTATTTTGGTATCAAATTTGCAGGAATAGTGTGGTGCGTATCTTGGGGATAAATCTGGTAGAGCCATCTAGAGAAACTCAAGGTATCTTGGGATCAATCTTCCTGGAGAAATTCCTGTGGAGTTTGCTAGAAACACCCCTTGGCTTTCTTGGGTCAATCCTGATTAAACTTGAAGCTTGAAGGTTGGAGTTTCTTTTGGGCTCAGACTGTTAAATGTGAAAGTCCAGAGGGGAGTTCCTGGGTGCTGGGTCAGTGGATATATCCCAGTACAAACATCTGCGTGAGTAGAAATGTGTCCTTGTATGCCTAACACCCAACTGGGCACAACACTCCCTGGTGCCAGTCCAGTACTTTAACCACTAGACCACCCTTTCTGTCTCTCCTATTCTGCTAAACAGAAAGCAACTTTTTTTTAACACACCAGCTCATTCAAGCTCTCTCCAGATCCTCCATCGCAAACCCTTCCCTTGGAAGGCTTAGCAGCAGAAGACCTGGTCAAATAGGAATGTAAGCAACAAAAAAATGGAGGGAGGTAACCCAGTGGATCCTCTTGGAAAAGATATCGCTCTGTTTCACATGATGAATTTTTCAAACCGTTTTCTGATTTTTAAACATTTTTCAACATCATTAACATTTTTTAACATTTTAATTGCAATTGTTGTTTTACTGTCAGATATTTAAATTTGTAGCATCTCCACTATAGGATTGTTTCCTCAACGAAAAGCTGGCTAAAATGTATCAAACTACAATAATTAGTCAAAAGGTCCTTTTTTTTCTTTTATGAATCATTAAAAAAAAAAGAACGAACGAACAAATGAAGACAGAGAAAGAGAAAGAGAAAAGGTGTTTTCTTGAGTAGTATCTCTGATAGATAAGGCGACAGTTGGCCAACCTTCCTGAACCTTATGCCCTCAACATGTTTTAGAATGAGAATTCAGAGAATTCCTACAAGCTGAGAATGCTGGGAGCTAGAGACCCAAAACACCACAAAAGCATCAAGTTGGGGAACATTCATCTTAGCTCTTGCTGCTTGTAACCATCAAAAGTTCCCACATTTTCTTCCATCAATTCTCCCATGCCATTTTTCCAATTCCTCTGTATGTCTGCCATTGAAAGACTTCAGGCAAATACTTACATGTCCATCCAATGCCCACTTATCATTCTTGAATTTGTTCATGTAGATCTCCAGTGGCCCTGTAATTTGGTGTACCTGGAGGAGGAGATGGACATCTTCTCTTTTGTAAATACCTGGAAAGAGAAGAGAAGAGAGCTGGGCCTTCAAGGTTTATTGTAAAGCAAGCAGGGGGAGGAAGCAATGAGAGAATGAAGGGAGGGAGCACTTCACTGCCATTTGAGAAGGCAAGATCTCAATGCTCTTGAATGCTCTTCACAGTGCTCTGTGAAGTTAGGACAGGGTTGCATCCAACTCTGACAAAATCATGCTGGAAGCTCATCTGCATTACATTCATTAGTTGTTGCCAAAGCCTGCAGGCAGCATTAAATTATTCACTAGAGTGAAAATCCAGGAAAGAGAGCAGAGACCTTCAAGAAGCTTTCTCCAATTGGGAACAGGGTTAAAATTGCAGGTAAAAATAATCGCAAGTATTTGGGTAACGTGATGCCCGAGATACAGAGATTCTAACCCTCCACATACTGAGTTTGTGCAAGCCAGTCTAGGGTAACATGTATTTGGGTCATTTGTGGTTTGGTATGTTGTGAAAACCCAGGCACTGGTCATATGTGGCATAAACCAAGCCGTCACAGTAAGCTATAATATGGTTGGTTTGGCCACTGTAATATGTAATTTGGCCCTACTATGTTGTGTAACATGAATGCAGCCACAGAATTTTAGCTGGAGAATGGTTATTGAGGAAGTATCCTCAGGCTCTTTAATCATTTATCTGCTTTGCACATTAGGCAGATGTTTCAGCTTGATTCTCCAGGCAGACATGGGTGAAGAGAGCGATAAAATACCATTACGCTGGCAGTATTAATACATCGTGCAAATAAGGCTGGACGTACAGCATTTTCCCTTCCATGTTGTTTAATGTTGGGTGGACATTGAGGTGGCCTTTTCTGCCCCTTCTCCCACTGGGAATGCAGAAAAGCCCTAGCTGGCTGCCTTACCGGACACTTTCAGCTCCACACCGCTGTGGTCTATCAGGGTGGCATTAACTTTACTGGTGACCGGGTCAAAGCTGGTGACAGAAAGCATGGCTGGCTGCTTTTTGCCCATGTATTCGTAAGACCCTTTCCAAAAGGAGTTTTTTGCAAAGACGTCAGCAGGAACTAGAAGGAACGCAAGGCAGAAGAAGACGAGAAGGCTATTTGTGAGGAGTGGGGAAGCCAGAAAGGCCCAACCATGGTTTAGACATCTGAAGGACATCCCCTTACCCGCTCCATAACAGAAGCACTCACTCTGCCCCCTCCTTCAAGAATCCTGAGGATTACCATTTCCAGCAAACAGCAACATTATTAGAAAGATGAATTAATATCTCAGGGAACAAGATCAGGGGAGCAGGAAGGGTAGCCAAATCAAGGGGGTGACTGAAAAAGAGGGCACATACAGTGGGGCAAAAAAGTATTTAGTCAGCCACCAATTGTGCAAGTTCTCCCACTTAAAAAGATGAGAGAGGCCTGTAATTTTCATCATAGGTATACCTCAAC